GTGTGTGGTTCGCTCGTCTCTTCTCTCCAGGATTACGATTGACCATTCAGCGGTTTATGTCGGAATTACCCCCGGTCCGAGCACACATCTCTGATCCCCCAAACCCACACTCTGAAACCCAACACCGCCCAAATCACGACCATTAAACCTTGATGCCCTAACCCATCCCAACAGCCCTCGTAGGTATATGGTCCCCCCAAGCCCTATACCACACCCCACACCACCAGAGGAGGGCCCACCAAGCAAGACCAAAGACCCCTTGGCACCCGAAGCAATCCACCCCTCAGGGGGGAAGGAGAGTGGGAGAGGGCGGAGGGAGGAGGGTGGGGGGCGGGGGGGGGGGGNNGGGGCGGGGGAGGGGTTGTGGGGCAAACCGGGATCATAAATGACACCAAACCGGCGAAAACCACAGCTGGGAGCCGCACCCCCAGACCGGCGACTCTACGGCAGCTCAAAGCCCGAATCCTAAACCTTCCAGACCCTCTACAATAACCCATAGGCTCCATTATGGCTCCTTCTTGCTGTTTATAGATAGGATCCGATTAGGTAGTCCCAAACAGGAACTGCTTTGGAGCCGATGGGTATAGCAACTATAGGCACCTAAACTCCCTAGACCTATGATGGAGGTACCCTCGGTTTTGGGTTTAGGGTTGCCTTGCGTTTGCCTAAGGAACAAATGAAACCGAAACTCCTAAGGAACAGCACTGATAAATCTCTAAAAAGCCCTATCAAACCTAAACGCTAACGCCTAAACCCTAAACCCTAAACCCTAAACCCCTAAACCCTAAACCCTAAACCCCTAAACCCTAAACCCTAAACCTAGATCCTAAATCCTACCCTTCAAATCCCAAAAGCCTAAGCCTAAACCCTAAACCCTAAACCCTAAGAAACCCCACAGTAAACCCCAAAACGCTTAACGCCTACACCCCTAAACCCTAAGGAACCCTAAACCCTAGAGCCTAGACATAAGGAGCCCAAACCCCTTAACCCGAAACCCTAAAGCCTAAACCCTCAACCCAGTTCTAAACCCTAAACCCTATAGAGCCTAAACATAAGGAACCCAAACCCCCTTAACCCGAAACCCTAAAGCCTAAACCCTCAACCCTGTGCTAAACCCTAAACCCTAAACCCTCAACAGCTAAACCCTAAACCCTAAACCCTAAACCCTAAACCCTAAACCCTAAACCCTAAACCCTAAACCCTTAACCCTAAACCCTAAACCCTTACAGGGAACCCAGGCTTCGCGCTCCAGGGCTTCTGTTGCAGCACCAACTTGTCGTCTTCCTTCTTGATCTGGAAGTCGCCCTTCAGAGGGTTTAGACTTTAGGGTTTAGGGTTTAGGGTTTAGGGTTTAGGGGTTATGGGTTTATGGGGTTTAGAGTTTAGGGTTGTAAGGTTTGGGGTTCATGCTTTGGGGTTCCTTCTTGATCTGGGAATCGCCCTGCCGGGTTTCACGGGGCTTTTCGCCTTCGTGGGTTCAGGGTTTAGGGCTCAGTGTTTAGAGTTTTATAGGGCTTATAAACCCTAAACCCTAAGCCCTAAACCCTACTTAGACTTTAGGGGTTTAAGGTTTAGGGTTCAGGCTTTGCCTTTCCTTGTTGATCCTGGGAAATCGCCCTTCCGGGTTTCACGAGGCTGTTTGAAGTCGTGGGCTCAGGGGTTGGGGTTCAGGGCTTAGAGTTTAGGGTTTAAGGTCTAGGGTTTTAAGGTTTATGGTTCCTTCTTGATCTGGAAAAATATCTTCAGGGTTTCGGGAGGTTTGTAGTTTAGGATTCAGGTTTAGGGGACTTGGGTTTCGAGGGGCTTGGGTTTTTGTTGGGTTTAAGGGTTTGCGCTGTAGGGCTTGGGGTTCATGCGGGACTTTAGCGCTCGGGGTTTTGGGTGATAGCTTTTAGGCTTAGCGGTTTGAACGGATTTGACTAACTCGTGTTTTCGGTAGTTAAGGTTCGGGGCTTAGTTGTTGAAAGGCTTGCGCTTCAGGGCTTGGGGCTGCGAGGGTTTGACACTACAATATAAGGGCCGAAATGGAAAGAAAAGGGTGTCGGGGTAGACTATAGCACAACTGTATCGAGACGACAGACAGGAGAACCTGTTGCTGATTATTCAGACATATTCAGACATACAAAGGGGCAGGGTTTAGATGCAGGTGTTAGGTTTCAAGAGCGGTTCGTTCCTGCGTTCAATGGCTTTACTTGTAGTTCCTTGGGTTGTTGAAGGCTTTGATAAGGTCTGCCCTAAACCCAAAACCCTAAACCCTTCTATGGCCTTGGGGTTGGGGTCCTGCTACAATGAGTTGAAGAGTTTTGGGAGTATTCAGGAGAGGGCCATAACTTACAGTAGAAGCCAGAAAGTTGGAACATCATTAATTATTTAGGGTTTAGGGTTTAGGATTTAGGGATTAGGGTTTAGGAATCCCAGCACTAATCATCCTCAATCCATGTTCCAACTTTCTGGGGTTCACTATAGTCCATAGTGGCTTGAAGTGTAGTACAAGTAGCTGCAAGCTTCTCGGTGTCTCTTGGAAACATCATTTAGGGTAGTATGAGAGCCCTGGGCCCTAAGTTAAGCCCTAAACCCTAAACCCTAAACCGTTCAGCACTACACCAGAGGCTGGCTCCCAAATTTCAGCCATAGAGGCCAACTAGCCTCTAAGTCGTTGCTTCAGTTCTCAGAACCTTTGCATATGGTTTGGATATGGGTAGTTCTCTAAATTCGGGTCCCTTTTAGGGTCCTGTTTATAGAAGTGCCGTACTATATTGGAGAGCTAAAACGGGACCCTAATTTAGAGAACTCCCCATATGGTGCTTGGGTCTCACGGTTAAGGTTTAGGCTGTTGGGCCTTGGGTACAGGGCATAAAGAAAATAACGCTCAGCATCCCAACTCCACTCACCGGACATAAACCCTGAAACCGAAACCCTGAAGCAAGGAGCTCCCCATAAGTGCCTAAACCCTAAACCCTAAACCCTAAACCCTAAACCCTAAACCCTACCCCTAAACCCCAAACCCTAAACCCTAAACCCTAAACCCTAAACCCATAAGTCTTTAAGTGCAGCCCGGAGGGCGTTTTCATAGGTCCAATCTCCTTCTAAGGAGGCGTTCTCATCGGCTCCCATCTGCTCTCTCTTGAGGACCTGGGATGCCAGATTTGGACCTACACCCTGAAACTTGAAACCCTCAACCCTAACACCCTGAAGCCTTAAACCCTAAAAACCCTGAAGCACTAAACCCTAAACCCTGAAACCCTAAACCCTGAAACCCTGAAACCCAAAGACCCTGAAATCCTAAAACCCTAAACCCTAAAGCCCTAAACCCTAAACCCTAGAACCCTGAAGCCCTAAACCCTAAAACTCTAAACCCCAAAATCCCCAAACCCTAAAACCCTGAAACCCTGAAACCCTAAACCCCAAACCCTAAAACCCTGAAGCCCTAAAACCCCAAAGCCCTGAAGCCTTAAAACCCTGAAACCCTCAACCCTAAAGCCCTAAACCCTACATTTAGGGCTTGAGATGACGGAGCCCCGGACCCTGTCGAACCAAAAATGCAAAGACGCATGGCCCCGATATCAGCACTAAATTCAGGGCTTAGGGTTTTAGGGTTTAGGGCTTCAGGGTTTTAGGGTCTGGGATTCAGGGTTTAGGGTTTTAGGGTCTGGGGTTTAGGGTTTACCCTAAGGCTCCTGGACCCTTGTAGTGAGATCCCGAACCTTAGCCCCCAAAGCCGAAACCCTCCCCCTGAAAGCCCAAGACCCTCTTAGGAGCCTTAAGGTAGGTCCAGATCCGGCTGGTGGCCCTCGTCGCCAGATCGCAGTGTAACACTTACAAGACCCTAAACCCTAAACCCTAAACCTTAGGGTTTAGGGTTTAGGGTTTAGGGACTCATGCTTTAAGGCTTTTCGGCCCAAAGGCCCTACTACATAAGGCTTTGGGGCTATTTTGATGCTAGGGGTTGGTGTTTTAAAACTGCAGTTACTGGAGATTGGTATTTCCAAGATGGAGAACGAAAAGGGTGCTCAGTTACTCTTAACCGGAAGTCGGAATGACTGCAATCATGCACAGCCGTAGGAACCACGGATTTCGAATTCCGGTTTAGGGTTTAGGGTTTACCCATAGGCGCCATAGTAGTTCCTTTTTTTGATTACCTCATAGGATCCTAAATACAAGCCACAAAAAGGAACTACTACGGGCCCTAAACCCTAAACCCTAAACCTGGGTAGAGACCTTAGGCTCTGCATAGTTTCGTGTGTCAGGCCTATGGGTTTAGGGGCTTCGCTTGACTCTTTGTTGAGGCCCGGGCAACAACGCCCGGGCCAGCCGTCATCATCAGGAACTGCTTGTGGTCATCTACGCTGTACTCCTGCGTGGCAAAGATCACCGTACAGGTTACCCATAGGCCCCATAGGAGTTCCTTTTTGTGGTTTGTATTTAATCCCAAAAAGGAACTACTATGGGGCCTATGGGTAAGCACAAAATCCAAAAACAACATTTGTTGAATGTAGGAGCCGAACTAACTAGTTGGACTTGTTTCTTGTTGTTTGGGTGTGGCGGGTTGGTACAAGCATATACGGTGTAGCAGTATTAGCAGAAGCACTCCGACAGAGCATTGTCATACATTGCTACATAGCTACCTATTTATAGTTAGCCGATACCTGGGCCTGCACTCC